CTTAATTAATCGTCCATGTGCAGAATGGCTAAAACCCAGATTTCCCTTTTTCTGTTCAAAAAAACATCTCAAAGTCACCCGGAATTTCACTAAAATCACTTGTCATGTTTTCTTTTCAAAATAAAAATCTAACAAATCAACCTATAAATTTCCTTAAAACTCTCCCAAATCACTCAAAACTCTAAAATATTCAAATTCCACCAAATCTTCCAAAGTTCTTGATCCAATACACCCCCCTAAGAATCAGCTGATAAATACATGATGATGACTTGGGCCTTTTGTACGATTTGCTAATTGATCAACCTCAAGAAATCAGACGTGCATTAGGAGACCACTTGATAGCCGAGAAGTTTAACAGTTCTTCATCCAATCTTACAGGTTTTCCCTTGAGAAAGTCCAAGTCATGGGCAATAGATTTTTTTGAGTCGTAGAACTTGGATCATAGTTATCACATCCTTTCTCGGGTTATGATGATGTCAACTATTTTTAGTCAAAACTACAATCAGAGTAATCATTATGAAGAAGGGAATAAAAATAATACATCTTATTTAAAAGATTGTATGACCTCTTCTGAATATTCTTGTTTGAAAAATATTTTTGCAACTTAATTAATCGTCCATGTGCAGAATGGCTAAAACCCAGATTTCCCTTTTTCTGTTCAAAAAAACATCTCAAAGTCACCCGGAATTTCACTAAAATCACTTGTCATGTTTTCTTTTCAAAATAAAAATCTAACAAATCAACCTATAAATTTCCTTAAAACTCTCCCAAATCATTCAAAACTCTAAAATATTCAAATTCCACCAAATCTTCCAAAGTTCTTGATCCAATACACCCCCCTTAGTCAAATTTAGGACATGATGAAACTACCAAATCCAAAAATCTAAATTTGGAAGCTGTCTGGAAAAAAAAACGATCCTAGAATAATACCAGAGGATCTTAGATTTACGTATTTTGCACATCAGGTAATATTAAATTCGAACCAAAACCCGAATTAGTAACCGAAAAAAACTAAAAGCTAAGTAACCTCATTAACTCTTTTTCATAGGGCCTCAAGTAATTGACATAATTTTGAGTATTTTTTGGTAGTTTTTTGTATCAGGTTTTAAGGGTAATTCAAATATGTTTAAGTACTTTCGAATATTTTTGAGTAGTTTAGATTTTTTTTTCGACCGAATTTTTCTGATAATTCGGATATTCAGAATATTTTGGAATCTGAACCGAACCCAAAAATACAAAATCCGAAAGGTAAAACCCTATCAGAACCGAAATAGACCTGAATATTATAGATATCCGAACGGGGCTATGAGCCTCAACCCAAAAACCCGAATCAAATCCAAACACTAAACCCTAATGAAAAAGTATTTGTAGTAAAAGATTATAAACGGGAAGCAATAAATTAGTTGGAACTTATATTATTGATATCTCACCAGTTCCCCACACGCAACGTGATTTCTTACATCAATCTATATATATATATATAGTATTATAAGTATAATGTGTACTGTCTTTCCAAATAAACAAAGAGTATTCAAACAAAATGTGGAGGCTGAGACTTGGACCGAAGGCCGGAGAAGATACTCACTTGTTCACCACCAACAACTATGCCGGGAGGCAGATTTGGGAGTTCGATGCCAACGCAGGCTCTCCAGAGGAACTTGCCGAGGTAGAGGATGCTCGTCAGAATTTTTCAAACAACCGGTCACGTTTCAAGACCAGTGCAGATCTCCTATGGCGGATGCAGGTGAAATCTTTTTGAAGTTTAACACATTACAATTTGGTCTCTACTTCAGAATATAATATTTTTGTCCTGTGGAGTTAACAGTTTCTCAGGGAGAAGAAATTCGAGCAAAAGATTCCACGAGTGATAGTAGAGGATGCGAGGAAAATAAAGTACGAAGATGCAAAGACCGCATTGAGAAGAGGGTTACTCTATTTCACAGCCTTGCAGGCTGATGATGGACACTGGCCAGCTGAAAACTCTGGTCCAAATTTCTACGCCCCACCTTTTGTGAGTTACTATAAACTAGCTAGCTTTAATAGCTAAACAGTCACTTACGAAATAATTATTAATGTAATAATAAACTAAAATATGCACAGTTGATATGCCTGTACATCACTGGAAATCTGGAGAAAATCTTCACTCCCGAGCATGTTAAAGAGTTACTACGTCACATCTACAACATGCAGGTACAAATATATTTCATACACTTGAAGGTTTATATATGAACTATTAACTATAGAAAGAGTACTTAAGCCAAATTGTTTTTGTAGAACGAAGATGGTGGGTGGGGATTACACGTAGAAAGCCACAGTGTTATGTTCTGTACAGTCATCAACTACATTTGTTTAAGAATTGTGGGCGAAGAAGCCAGTCATGATGATCAAGGAAATGGTTGTGCAAAGGCTCATAAGTGGATCATGGACCATGGTGGTGCTACCTACACGCCCTTGATAGGAAAAGCGTTACTATCGGTATGTGGCTACTATTTCTTTCATAGATATCCATTTTACTTTACTTAGAAATTATTTCCCTTTAATTTTACTTATTATTAATAAAATCATATCTCTTTTGTCATCCTCACCTTGGAATTGATCAGGTTCTTGGAGTGTATGATTGGTCTGGATGCAATCCTATACCTCCAGAGTTCTGGTTGCTTCCGTCTTCTTTTCCTGTTAATGGAGGTTGTACTTTTGGACACCTTATGATATTGTTTGTTTGATTTTTAAGTAATTTTGCTTAGCTCTTTAAAATATATATATATGTATGTAAATGTGCAGGGACTCTCTGGATTTATTTACGGGATACTTTTATGGGGTTGTCATACTTGTATGGTAAAAAATTTGTGGCTGCCCCAACACCTCTCATTCTCAAGCTCCGAGAAGAGCTTTATCCGGAGCCTTATGCAAAAATCAATTGGACGCAAACACGAAACCGATGTGCAAAGGTAAGTTATATATTAGGAAACAAATTAAGATGTATTCAAGTTTTATGAGTAAAAACCTTTGATAATCTTTTTTTTTGTGTCATCAGAAATTAATTAGAGCTTAAAAGAGTCATTCAACTTTTGATAATCTATCTTACGTAAAAACTAAAATTCTGGTCTTAAAACCAAAAGAAAAGAAAACAAAAACTAATATTACTAACCACGTATCATACAAAATTCTTTAAAAATAAAGAAACATACAATTAGTTTTTGAACGTCCTCCGTGATATATTTATTTAAAAAAAATACTCATTCTGTTTCACAAAGAGTGTCATTCTACACTTTACACATATATTAAAAAAACTATTAAAATTCCTATTATACCCCTTATCAATACACTAAACAAAATTATCTATCTTATTAATACATTAAAGAAATAAGGTTAAAATTAGATTTTTACTCAAAATTTTGAGTTGAAAATATAAAACGACACTATTTGTGAAACAAAAATAAAACTTTAAAACGACACTCTTTATAAAACGGAGGGAGTATTGACTTTTCGTGATGAATTGATTATTACCGAAGTAACACTTCCGTTTTTCTATTTCATTTCTTTTAGATGTGAATCGGTATGCCAAACTATATATTTATCTATCGTGAACACACATATCAATATACAAAGGTTCCTAACGTCCAAACTAGATCAATCATTTTTCAAAAGTAACTAGTTGATAATCCGCAATATCTGGGGATGAAGATATTGCTAAGAAATATTAAATAGTTTTTTTCTCTTTTATTTTTGTCGGCATATTAAATAGTTATATAATATAATTAACTAAACCGAAAAAATATTCAATTCCCTATGTTTAATCTAATTGTGACACATGTATTGTTTCTTTCTCTAAATGACAACCAATCATTAAAATTATTATATGTAATCTCTGTGCACTTTCTAATTGATTTTAAAAGCACAAATAAATGTCTTAAAAATCATACTTCCTCCGTTCGTTTATAAATGATGTTTTAGGAGAATACCACAGATTAAGAAATCATTTATTTTTTGTTTATTTCTAAACAAAATATCATTTATATTCTAATCAATCAATAGAAAAACAATCTGCATAATATAAATCATCAAAACCAATAAAAATTTAATCAATATTACATTGAAAATTGAAAACATCATCTATTTAAGAACAAAAATATAAACTTAAAACATCATTTATAAAAGCACGGAGGGAGTATTTCATATACTTAACGTGCTCGAAGACAATACATGTTCATCTTGTAATGATATAGATCCATCTTCCATGTTCATCTTTTAATGTTATTATGTAGGTAAAATGAATTTAAGATATTAATATATACATATTAAAATGAGAAAAATACTCTAAAATATCACTAAATTAAATTTTTGTTCCTTAAATACAGTCATTAGTTTGTTTTCTAAAATATCACTACGAACGTTTTAGTCTAAAAAGGGTATTTTTCAAATCAAAACTAAAAAATATGTAGTTTTCAAAACAACCCAACATTAAAAATGATTTAAAGTTTTAAAATTTAAAAATTTAGGTTTAGGTTTAGTATTTTAGGTTTAGGGTTTAGGGTTTATTTTTTAGGTTTTATAATTTATTTTTGAAGATTTAAAGTTTAGTTTTAGTTTTATGGTATTTTTGGAAACAAATTTTTTTAATGGTCTTTTTGAGAAAAAAAAAAAAAAAACTACTGATGATATTTTTGTATGATAATTTTTGATAATTATTTAGCAGAAAATGTGTTTTTTTTTTAAATTCATATACAAATAATAGCAAACAATCATTAAAATTATTATATGTAATCTCTATGCACTTTCTAATTCATTTTAAAATCACACAGAAATGTGTTAAAGGTCATATTCCATATACTTAACGGGCTCAAAGACAATAAGTTAATGATAAGATATTTACAATGACTCTGTAGAATCTTTTTTTTTATCTACAAAGATTTTTTTAGCAGATAATTATTTAGAATCCTTTTTTAGCAAATAATTATTTAGCAGACATATGTGTTTTTTTTAGATTAATAAATATTTAAAATTATTTTGCAGAATCTTTGTATTCTATTATAATTATAAAATTAAGTTGTACAATAAAACAACAAAACAAAATGAAGGTTTACAACACATAATCAACAAATGTGTGTGTATAAAATTAAATCTAATATAATTTTAGAACTCTTTTTTGAGAAATGTCCCTTTTATTTTATCTCTTTCTACAAATACCCTCATATGTTATCAATTTTTAGGTATACCCTTCTTAAAAATGCTCTTCAATGTCTATGGCGGCTTACAGTGGTTCGGACCCCCAAATCATCTTATAAAACCTTTTAAAACCTTTATAAAATCTTTGAAAATATTTATAAAATCTACAAAAGGGCTATAATTAAAAATGGACAAAATTCATGCATTTTTGAAAAAGGGTTGTGTAAAAAGAGGGGAGAATGGTTTTTTCATACCTGTACAATCCGCAAAGTGTATTTTTTGACCTGAACAAATATGTAGGTTTAATTCATACCCAAACGTCAACAAAATTTGAATTCCATACATAAACTTTACATTTAGTGTCTAATTCAAAGTCGTAATTAATGGATGTTATTCAACTGTACGGTTGCTAAATCAATTGACATATATTTGATGACGTGGCTTAAAACTACGTCGTTTTAAGCATTTGGAGTTAAAGTCTTAAATGCTAATGGACTGCGCAAATGAGTGAAACGTAATGGATTCGAGATTCGATTTTTGCAAAATTTTAACACTGACACTTAAATGACATCGTTTTAAGCCATGATATTAAACACATGTCATTTAACTCAGCAAACGTAACGGTTGACTAACACCCGTTAATTACGAATCTAAATTAGACACTAAATACAAAGTTTGGGTATGAAATTCAAATTTGTTTGGAGGTCCGAAAACACACTTTGCGGATTGTACGGGTATGAAAATATTCTTTTCCCGTAAAAGGGGTATTCGATCTTTTTATTGTCCCTATAATTTACCCTAATTGCCTTAAATTGATTAACATTGAGATTTTATCATTTTAACTTGTTTTGTAATGGCAATGAATATATATAGTAGATTTTAGTTTGCAATTATTTTCCTAAAGAAGTCTTTGTTTACCAAATAATTCATGTATTAAATCAATATAATGATTCTCATATATAGGAAGATCTCTACTATCCACGCTCATTTTTACAAGATTTGTTTTGGAAAAGTGTTCACATGTTCTCGGAGAGTATCCTAGATCGATGGCCTTTAAACAAACTAATAAGAGAGAGAGCTCTTCGATCCACTATGTCACTCATTCACTATCATGATGAATCCACCAGATATATTACAGGCGGATGCCTGCCAAAGGTAATCGTTGTGATTGTTTTTCTTTTTCTTGTGGTTTTTGTTTGTTTTCTTCTCGTAAGAGATTAAATAATTTTGTTTTTGTTATTTCTTCCTTTTGTTTTATGTAGGCCTTTCATATGCTTGCATGTTGGATAGAAGACCCTAAGAGTGATTATTTTAAAAAACATCTTGCTCGAGTTCGCGAATACATATGGATTGGCGAGGATGGCCTGAAAATTCAGGTGGGTTCTTCTTAATTCTGACTCTGAATTATATACTCCGAACTCAAAATCCCCAAAATCTTCCATAGCATTAAAGAGCTGCATTAACACATGTGCAACTTTTGTAGTCTTTTGGTAGCCAATTATGGGATACATCCTTATCGCTACATGTCTTGTTAGACGGTATTGATGAGCATGATGTTGATGAGATTAGAACAACGCTCGTTAAAGGATATGATTACTTGAAGAAATCTCAAATTACAGAGAACCCTCGCGGTGATCACTTCCAAATGTTTCGTCACATTACAAAAGGTGGATGGACGTTTTCAGATCAAGATCAAGGATGGCCTGTTTCAGATTGTACTGCTGAAAGTTTAGAGGTAACCGTCATTATTACACCGTCTTTTTTGTACTAATGAAATTTCTTAGACTCTTAGTCATTAGTCTGAAATGTAAACAAATGTTTTGGCCACTTTCTTCAGTGTTGTCTATTCTTCGAGAGCTTGCCATCAGAGCTAATCGGGAAAAAAATGGATGTGGGGAAACTGTATGATGCTGTTGATTATCTTCTCTATCTGCAGGTAAATCACCTAAGAAACCACTAATAGATTATTACCAATGATTCTCGAAATCATATTGTATTACATATCTCAGTATAATATTAAAATTGCTAAGTTTTTTTTTTTTAAGAAATTGATAGTATAAATTAGATTTAACTTTTTGGATTACAATTAGTGTTGCCACGTCTACATGTTTCTTTAATTAGCATGAGAATTCGACTCTGCCTCCCCGTATTTTTTTTTTTGTCGGCCATTTCCATTACATTGAAAATAAAGTACAGAGTTTACGACTTTAGTACAAAACAGAGCCATACATAGTTGGACCTTGTTACAGTGACAGATTAACAAAGACTTACGTCTATAAAATCCAAGAAACAACAAAAGAAGAGTTATTGACTCTTGCTTCTTTCGCTAAGCTATCTGCCTCCCCGTATTGACAATGTGCAATGGACCCTATTTTTTTTTGGTAATGATGTGCAATGGACCCTATTGACACAGTAAAAGAGACTATACTAGTGAAATTTAAAAATATATATATTTTAAATGATTAAATTGGATAATTTATAGTATCTAATTAAATAGATACTCGTTGAAATGAAAAAAAAAATACAAATTACTTTACCGACCATACAAATCTAATATATTTTGTTCATTAAATTCCTTTTCATTTTATGTAAAGAGAGTGTTTATCGAAATATATATTATTATTACAGAGTGATAATGGAGGCATAGCAGCATGGCAACCGGTTGATGGGAAAGCCTGGTTAGAGGTAAAAATATTATTTAGTTATATATCATGCTTTTGTCCCAAAAAAAGTTACTATGATGCTTTTTCGTGATATAACGTAACAAAATACTTAAATTAAATGCAGTGGCTTAGTCCAGTGGAGTTTCTTGAAGACGCGGTGGTCGAGTATGAGTACGATATATTCGTCACCCTCTCTTCATCAATATTTTGTTTGTCTGAGCGTAATTTAAGTGGTTTAAATTGTTGAATATCATGATCTTTAGGTATGTAGAATGTACGGGGTCAGCGATTGTCGCGTTGGCTAAGTTTAATAAACAGTTTCCAGAGTATAAAAAAGCAGAGGTTAAACAGTTTATAACAAAGGGTGCAAAGTACATTGAAGACATGCAAACGGTGGATGGTTCATGGTACGGAAATTGGGGAGTGTGTTTTATATATGGGACCTTCTTTGCGGTAAGAGGTCTTGTGGCTGCTGGGAAGACTTACGGTAACTGTGAAGCAATTCGTAAAGCAGTTCGTTTTCTTCTCGACACACAAAATCTGGAGGGTGGATGGGGAGAGAGCTTTCTCTCTTGTCCAAACAAGATATACACTCCTTTGAAAGGAAACAGCACAAATGTGGTGCAAACAGGACAAGCACTTATAGTGCTAATTATGGCTGATCAAATGGAGAGAGATCCTTTACCGGTTCATCGCGCTGCCAAAGTGTTGATCAATTCACAGTTGGATAATGGCGATTTTCCACAACAGGTGATTATAATCCTATGTCTAGTTTTCATTATTCATATATAGTGCATATTATTAGTATCTCAACATCCTAACATGACCCTCAAAAACACAACTAAAGAAAGAAATATATGTCAAGAAAATTAATAGTTCTCAGTATCACCATCGCTGTGAATTTCTAAGAAAGATTTGAGATACAATCTTTTCTCTAACTTTACCACTCCTACTGCACTTTATATCTAAATGCATTACTAGGCACATGATGAGGTTTAATTTGATCAAGGCATGTGTCAAAATGTAGTTGATAAATATAAAATTATAGAAATAATAACCCTTAATTTTGTTTTAATAAATTTTCAGGAAATAATGGGAACGTTCATGAGAACTGTGATGCTCCATTTTCCAACCTATAGGAACACGTTCTCTCTTTGGGCTCTCACACATTACACACAGGCTCTGCGACGGCTTCTCCCTTAAGCATGTCACATATCTATGCTCTTCACCTTTTTACATATTGATTAAGTTTTTTTTTTTTTTTCCTTTGCATGTATAATAAAATAGATGTTATATACATCTATCAATAATGAACTGTGGTTATTGAACGATCTCTAAAATAATTAATTGAGAAGTAGAAACGCACCATATTAAAAGTTAGGGCAATGGAGGCTTGTGGTTAAAAGTTGGAATGATTTGTCCTAAACACCCTTAATGAATTGTTCTTCTCGAAATTTCTTCTTCTTCGTAATTAGGGGTATATAAGTCTAATCGTGTGTTGATCTCTATACTAATGTCCTAAACACCCTCGATTTCGAAATTTTTTGTTCTTAATTGTTAGGGGTGTATAAGTCTAATCGTGTTTTGAGATAATTAGTCTTAATTACCCTTAATTTTTTTTTTAATATAGTGTAATCGTTGGGGATACGAATGTCATAATGTCTCGACTTTAAGGATTATGGAATCTTAGCTTAAATTTATTTATTAATTTTTTGGATAATTCTATATCTTAGTAGTTAATATTCGTTTTTGTTAGTTTTCTGATTTAGTTTCTAATTAAAAAAGTTAAATTTAGCTTTAATGAATTTGTATATTATATTGCGAATATTTGTTTCGAGAATATTTCTATTTTTTAAAAGTAAAATTTTGTAGATAATTATGATGGTAAACCCTAGATTTTCAACTATAAATATAGAGTCTTGGTCATAACATTAGCATTCACATTCGTTACCCTAGGTTTTTAGTTTTTGTACTATATCTCACGGTTGCTAATGATTTCGTGATTAATTATTTTGTAATTTGTTTTAGGTTTACTGGGCATGGGAGTTTTGATCCTGAATCATGGTAGTTCGTGATGTGTGTGAGAAGAAATCCACCACGTATGGGTGATAGAAATACCGAGATTCAATGAATGAGGAGATAAGTTTTTTTTTCCAGGTAGAATTAGTAGTCATGCTCATGTTTTGATCTCTGCTTTTTATGTTTTTATATTTTATTTTATTTTGAATTCAAAGTAATAACGTGTTTGATGAGGTGCTTCGTAGATGGGACAAGTCAATTGTTTAAAAATCGGCATATATTAAAATCTTCTCGGCGGACAAACATAAAGAAACCCTATTTTTTTTGTTTTATATCGATTAACTTCCTCTCTTTCAATTAGGTTTCCTTGACTCTTAGCAATCCATCGACGATGTATCGTCACTGGTGACACCAACTCCGTGTCGGTTTGTGACCTCCCATGCGATGGTTAAGGTACGCTATTTAATCAATTCTAATCTATTGTTTTTGTTCGATATTATTTTGATAAATCTTTGCAATATCTAAATTTCAACTAAGATGCACGTGAAACAGAGTAAGTTATTCTATGCGGCTTAGATATTTGCACAACCGAACAATTCGTGTTTCAAAGTTTTTTTTTTCTGTGAATTACAAGTTCTTTCTTCTTCTTTTTTTTTGGTTTTAATTGATTTTGTTTAAGGGGGTTTGGTTCGTATTTTTTTTTTGTTTTTGTAGTGCTTTGCATAATTTGATAAGCATGAAATTGTTGCGATCAGTTGTGGTTTATTGCTTGTGTTTTTCTGTTTTGTTTGATTTCTTTCTTATTTTGTTTTTCTTTCGAACCCAAGAGAGATCATAGGCAGACACTCAATTATTAGTGTTTTGTTAGAATCTTTCTTTGGCACATTGTCCCGTCGAGTTTGGACCCATGGCTTATGGGAAATTTTGACTTGAGACTGAAAACCGATCCTTTATCCACGGCTTATTATTTCGACATATGTACTTGGGATTGGTTTCAGTTTACTGGTCAAAGATCAAGTTACTCATTGCTTAAAACATCATCGGTCTTTAGACAGAGACCGAGATTCGGAAAAACCAATTATTTAGACAAAAGATTGGATTGGGTTATGTTTGGTGGAAGGAAAATGGTACTCACGGCTTCTAACATTAGTCTTTAGACTGAGGCTGATTCGAACATTGATCCTTCATGGTACCCACGGCTTGAAAATCTCTAGACATGGATCATGTTCGTTTTGTTCTTTCAGTCTTTAGACAACGAAACAGTACCCACGGCTTAAACATCACCAGTCTTTAGACCAGAGACTGAGATTGGCTTATGTTTGGTAGAAGGAAAATGGTATCCACGGCTCAAAACATTAGTCCCCACGACTTGAAAATCTCTAGACATTGATCATGTTCGGTTTGGTTTTTCAGTTTTTAGACAAAGAAACAGTTACCCACGGCTTTAAACACCATAAGTCTTTAGACAAAGACTTGAGATTCGAAAAAAAACAATCCTTAAGAGAAAAGATTGGATTGGCTTATGTTTTGGTGGAAGGAAAATGGTACCCACGGCTTAAAACATCATATGTCTTTAGATAGAGACTTGAGATTCAGAAAAACCAATCCTTAAGACAAAAGATCGGATTGGCTTATGTTTTGGTGGAAGGAAAATGGTACCCACGGCTTAAAACATCATATGTCTTTACATAGAGACTTGAGATTCGAAAAAACCAATCCTTAAGACAAAAGATCGGATTGGCTTATGTTTTGGTGGAAGGAAAATGGTACACACGGCTTAAAACATCATATGTCTTTAGATAGAGACTTGAGATTCGAAAAAACCAATCCTTAAGACAAAAGATCGGATTGGGTCATGTTTGGTTGAAGGATAATGGTACCCATGACTTTAAACGTTGTCTTTAGACTGAGAGTGATTCGAACATTGATCCTTCTTGGTACCCACGGCTTGGAAATCTCTAGACATGGATCATGTTCGATGTGTTGTTTCAGTCTTTAGACAAAAATAACCCACAAATTAAAACATTACCAGTCTTTAGACAGAGACTTGAGATTCAGAAAACCAATCATTTACTCACGGCAAAGACATTAGCAAAGAAACAGATAATTTTGGATTGGGCTTCGTATAAATAATTTTGTGGTGTACTTATTTATATGAGATATTTGATATATTATTGCTAGGTTTACATCGATCCAATATAAACATGTAGTTTCTTGTATATTAATATCTCTTATTTTATGAGTTTTTTTTGGTTAGATGACTACAAGAAGGTAGTCTCTAATCTAATTATATATATTTGTATTTTATTAAAAATTATTTATATGCCTTCCTTTTTGGCTGTTAGAAACCCTAACATTAATTTGGTTTCTAAAACACATTGAATATCTTTTGAAGCTCGGGAAAACTAGAGTTCTCTAAAAAACGAAATCGATGTCGAGATTGCAGAGGTATGTCTATCTTGATGAAATTGTTAAATAGATATTGGGCTCTTAAACAATTCAATCACCTTAATTTTTTCTTACAATCGTGAGAGGAGACTTTAGGGTTTGATTGTTTTAGTTTTGATTGGTGAATTGAAAGATGCATCAATCTCGACATGTGGTTTCAATGGTTCTTCCTTCAATTCTGCCCACCAACATCACTACCGAATATATCCATGGCTAGAAACGACGAAGATGGAACCGAATGAATGATCATTGACTCAAGCACGATCATCATTTAGCTCGAGGAGACTGCATATAAGGTATTGAAGGAGGAGTTTACCAGTTGATGACTATGGGAAGTTCTAATGGGATGTCTATTTTCGGAAATGTTGAGCAGCAGAATTTTAATGTACTTCATGATCCTAAGAAAGAAACAGTACTGAGTATAGAGAGAGGGAGCAGGAATCCAGTGGGCAGGAAGATTCGTAGTGATCGTTTTGCTTACCGTAATGATCCTTATCGAGGAGATTCACTTCTAAGTTTTAGTTTTCTCATTTCTCTTCTTAAAGTCTCAAATTTGATAAATTCCCATCAAAAGGGTATTTCATATATACTAAGGAGTTCTTTAATTGTGGAGTAGGCTAAACTAATTTGCTTCTTTGTTGCTACATTTAATTCTCTCTTGCAGCCAAAGTAATTGTTGGATATGGGCTTCACCCACAAAATGCCATTTGGCCCAAAAAGAGACCCAACTATTTATCGGGCCTGTTGTCTCTCCAATTCAGCCCATCAAGCTTGGAGGGTAAAATGGTAATTTACTGAGGGAACAGAAGAGACCTTAGGTCACAATGATTGTCCTATAAATAAGACACTATTGGTAACAAGAAGACCCGGTGGTTAATATCCAGAGGATTGGAGAATCATTCACAGCGTAAACTTTCGTTCGTAGTTCTCTTCGTAAACTTTCGTTCGTTAGTCATAGTTCTTTGCGTATACATTCGTTGGTTGTTCGTAGCTCATCGTCTGTACGTTCGTCATTTCTCCCTGTAACTAACCGATCTCGTTCGTCGTTAATAAAGAAGTTACTTCGTTCTCCCCGAAAATCCTATAGTTATTCGTTGTTACAACCTCGGTACAAACAATTGGCGCCCACCGTGGGGCAAGTTCGAAGCTTTTCTTTGGACAAACGACGTTGATGTCCCAAGAAGATCAAGACGACATGACCGACACCTCAAGCGATCAAGGAACAGACACGAGCGTACAACCAACGCCCGACGCGATGGTGCTACCTCCGGAGAATCCAGCGGTCGCTCGAGCCGAACGACATCCAGCCGTACCTGTCGCCGTAGCAGCAGTAGCACCAGCCGAAGTAGCAGACGCTGCCGACAACGCCGCCCTCGGACATGCCGTAGCCGCCAACCGAGGTACCAACCTGGATGAACTTGTGCAGACCATCTTGGATCGACTTGATGGTCAAGATGCGCGGACGACCGAACGGATTGACGCTCTCGTAGCTGCGCAAGTTGCCGCCCAAGCTCAAATCGAACGACTCCGACGACGCAGGCGTGACGCTCAACATCACAACGACCAGGAAGGACTGCCGTCTCCACACACCCCTGCTGCCGAACGCTCGGAGAACCAACGTCACCGGCCAGCGTTGATTATCATAGGATCTGTTGACGAGCATCCTCATGAAGGCTTGCCGAACGGCGATACCTTGCCAAGCACCCGAAGTCTCCAAAACTGACCTGCTGAGAGTAGCGACCCGACGCGCGACCTGGAGCTGGAACGTATGAACACAATGCTCAAGGACATGTCATCCAAAATGCACCGGGCCACCAGCTCCGCGCCCGAACTGGAGAAGGTATTGGAGGAGACGCAACGATCGCCCTTCACAACACGCATCTCAGAAGTACGCGTCCACCATGTCAAAAACAAGGTCAAGCTTATTCCCTACAACGGTCTCACTGACCCGAAGCCTTTCCTGAAGTCTCTCAGTATTGCGATCAACCGCGCCCAGTTCTCCGCTGCGGAGCGTGACGCTGGTAGCTGCCAGTTACTCGTGGAGAACCTGACCGATGACGCGCTAAACTGGTTCTCACGACTCGAGGCCAATACGATCGACAGCTACCACCAGCTCACTTCCGTTTTCTTGCAACATCACTCAATATTTATGGTCAAAGGTACTTCGAATGCCGACTTATGGACCATGTCTCAAAAAGATAAAGAACCGTTGAGGAAATTCATTGAGCGATTCAAGAAAGTCGTTTCCAGCATTGTCATAACTGATGATGCCGCGATCGCCACTCTACGTAATGCGTGCTCGTACGAGTCCCGATTCAGAGAAGATCTCGTAATTACTCAACCAGCAACATTGGAGGATGCTCTGCATCGTGCTAATCGATTCATCGAAGTCGAAGAAGAGAAGACCGCGATGGCAAAACGACAACCCAAAGCATCAAGTTCGAAAGATAAGTCCCACGATGAGCACTACGAACCTCGCCAACACTACGACAGGGATTATGCTAAAATTGACAAAGCCAAGAAAGCAGCGACATATGTCGTTGGCGGGTCAGACTCGCAACCTTCGAAACCGTGGAACAAATATTATCGTGAAACAGATCCAAAACGCAATCAAGCGTATTGCGAGTTTCATAAAGTCTCTGGTCATTCGACCGACGAATGTCGATAACTCCAACTCTTACTTCTCTCGAAATTCAAAAAGGGCGATCTCGATGTCGAAAATGAACGACGCCAAGTGGCCGCTCACAAGGATAATCTATACCACCCAGTTCAAAAGGATGGTCGTAACAGACGCAATGATCCTCGCCTGAACGAGCGTGCTCGCGACAATGATCGACGACCCGAACCCCCTAAGCAAAACCGTGACGGACCACGGCATGACGATAATGCACCTGTTCCACGGAACCGCATTCACATGATAATGGGCGGTCTGACGACATGTCGAGATTCTATCCGATCAATCAGAAATTATCGACGCCAAGCAGAAGTTCGCCGCGACTGGATCGCTAATAGCACGCTAACTGTTGATAATACGGAACCAATCACGTTCACGGAAGCCGACGCAGCCGGACTGTCGGGTCCACATAATGATCCATTAGTTGTCGAATTAATAATCAACGAAAGCGCCGTCACCAAAGTCCTCATTGACACGGGTAGTTCGGTTAATGTCATCTTCAAGGATGTTCTCATCCAAATGGGAGTAGATTTATGCTCAGCCAAGCACAATGTCCAGCCATTGACCGGATTCGACGGAGACACAGTCATGACCGTTGGCACCATCATGCTACCAGTATACGTTGGTGGAACGATGAACTGCTTCAACTTTGCTGTCGTCGACAAACCAATCGTCTATAATGTCATCCTCGGCACCCCATGGTTGCACAAAATGAAGGCCGTCGCATCTACTTACCATCAATGCGTCAAATTCCTGACCGCACACGGCGTCTACACGTTGAGGGGTGATCCGCTGGTAGCACGTACTTGCTTTATAATCGAGCACCAACTACGGAACGCAAGGGCTTTCGTGATTGCCGAACCTGCTCTGCAACGCAGCGTGCGATCTGTCCCAACAACCGAATCTGTGATCCAGGTCAATATCGATACAAGTGATCCTATTCGATGCGTTGGCATAGGTTCTGACCTACCGCAACAGCTTAAAGACGATCTTGTCGATTTCCTCCGTCAAAACGTTATGACCTTTGCATGGTCAATGGCGGACATGACAGGAATTGCTTCGGAAGTTACTTGCCACGAGCTTAACGTCGATTCAACGTATAAACCGGTGAAGCAAAAGCGACGAAAACTTGGTCCTGAACGCGCCACTGCCGTCAACGAAGAAGTCAAGAAAGTGCTCGACGCGGGATCTATAGTTGAAGTACGCTATCCGGACTGGTTGAGCAACCCTGTAGTCATCAAGAAAAAGAACGGCAAATGGTGAGTCTGCGTTGACTTTACCGATCTCAATAAAGCTTGCCCGAAGGACAGTTTTCCTCTACCGAGAATCGACCAGCTCGTCGAAGCTACTGCCGGTAACGACTTGCTCTCTTTCATGGATGCTTTCTCCGGCTATAATCAAATACTTATGCACAAGAACGATCGAGAGAAAACGGCCTTCATTACAGATCAAGGCACGTTCTGTTACAAGGTGATGCCTTTCGGACTCAAGAACGCAGGCGCGACCTATCAACGATTAGTCAACCGTATGTTCGCCGATCAGTTGGGTCGTACGATGGAAGTATACATTGATGATATGCTCGTCAAGTCAACTCATGCTGCGGAACATATTTCTCACCTACAACAATGTTTTCAAGTACTAAATAAGTATAACATGAAGTTGAACCCGGCAAAGTGTACGTTCGGGGTGACTTCCGGAGAATTCTTAGGGTACCTCGTCACTAAACGAGGGATCGAAGCCAATCCGAAACAGATCTCCGCACTCATCAATCTTCCGTCCCCAAGAAACACTCGAGAGGTACAACGACTCACCGGACGTATCGCCGCACTAAACCGCTTCATCTCTCGATCGACAGACAACTGTCTACCGTTCTATCAACTATTACGAAGCAACAAGAAGTTCGAGTGGGATCACAAATGTGAAGAAGCGTTCAAGCAACTCAATGACTATCTTTCAACACCACCGATCTTGGCCAAGCCAGAACAAGGGGAAACCTTATACCTCTATATTGCCGTTTCAGGCTCGGCGGTCAGCGGTGTACTTATCAGGGAGGATCGTAGAGAACAACACCCCATCTTCTACGTTAGCAAAACGCTCGACGGCGCCGAACTCCGCTATCCCACCTTGGAAAAGCTCGCATACGCGGTCGTCATCTCGGCTCGAAAACTCCGACCGTATTTTCAATCGCACGCCATTGAAGTTTTGACTAACCAGCCTCTTCGAACGGTCTTGCATAGCCCAAGCCAATCTGGCCGACTAGCGAAATGGGCAGTCGAGTTGAGCGAGTACGATCTTACGTACAAAAACAGAACGTGTGCAAAATCACAAGTACTCGCCGATTTCTTAATTGAGCTTCCACCAGAACTAGTCGAAGGCGTTCCCCCGACGGAGAAATGGATTTTACACGTAGATGGCGCTTCTTCCCGTCACGGTTCTGGTGTTGGTATACGTTTGGAGTCGCCAACAGGGGAAATTCTTGAGCAATCATTCCGACTAGCATTTCCAGCTTCCAATAACGAAGCAGAATATGAAGCATTGATCGCTGGTTTGCGCCTCGCTCACGGGATCGGCGTCAAAAAAATCCAAGTTTATTGTGACTCGCAACTTGTTGCCAATCAATTCAGTGGCAACTATGAAGCTAAAAATGACCGGATGGACGCCTACCTCAAAGTCGTCCGAGAGATGTCCCGCAACTTTGAACTCTTTGAACTCAATAAGATTCCACGAAGTGACAATGCGCCCGCCGATGCGCTAGCTGTACTTGCATCCACGTCTGATCCCGACCTTCGTCGCATCATCCCTGTCGAACGCATCGATCAGCCTAGCATCGATCTACCTATTGCAGCATCCGTACCGCCCGCACCAGCCATCGGTCCTAACGTGCATCCAATCGTCTACTCGCTCAACAAACCGACAGCTTCAACTCGTTCCGCCAGCACTCAACTTGTCCTACCAAACAATGTATCTGCAGTCACTCCACAAGCCGACCCGGTTAACTCCGATTGGCAAACAGAAATCCGCAACTATATTGCTGACGGTATCGTGCCAGCTGACAAATGGGCAGCTCGACGTCTACGAGCGCGCAGTGCACAATACACACTGCTTGACGGTAATCTTTGTCGTTGGAACGCTGCTGGAGTGCTCCTCTCCTGCATCTCCGGTGATGAGACCCTCCAAGTCATGCGTGAGATCCATGAAGGCGCCGGCGGCAATCATTCCGGCGGTCGAGCATTAGCACTTCGAATCCGTAAACATGGCCACTATTGGCCTACCATGATTTCGGACTGCGAGAGGTTTGTCGCTCGTTGCGAAAGGTGCCAGCGTCACGCCCCCATTATTCATGCACCAACAGAACTCTTACGAACTGCTACACCGCCATATCCGTTCATGCGCTGGGCAATGGACATCGTCGGACCCCTTCCTGCATCCCGCCAAAAAAAATATCTCCTGATCATCATGGATTATTTCACTAAATGGGTTGAGGCAGAATCATATGCTCGTATTCAGTCAAAGGAAGTTCAAAATTTCGTTTGGAAGCATATCATTTGTCGCCACGGACTACCATATGAGATCGTTACCGACAACGGTACTCAGTTCACCTCATTACAGTTCGAAGATTTTTGCACAAAATGGCGTATCCGTCTAAGTAAGTCCACACCCCGTTATCCCCAAGAAAATGGCCAGGCTGAGGCAACAAACAAGACCATCATTGATGGACTCAAGAAGCGTCTCGAGGAGAAAAAAGGTGTTTGGGCCGACGAACTTGATGGTGTGTTGTGGTCCCACCGTACCTCTCCACGCCGAGGAACCGGCCAAACACCTTTTTCGCTTGCTTATGGGCTGGAGGCCATGGCGCCATCTGAAGTCGGCCTTTCTACAATCAGACGATCCATGCTCGTCCGGAATCCTTCACTCAACGACAAGATGCTCCTCGATAACCTCGACACCATCGAAGAACAGCGCGACCAAGCTCTCCTTCGCATCCAGAACTACCAGCAGGCCGCAGCGAAATTTTTCAACAAAAAGGTGAAATCTGGATACTTTGCCGAAGGCGACCTCGTACTCCGCAAGGTTTTCGAAAACACGGTCGAAGTAAATGCTGGAAAGTTAGGCGCTCATTGGGAAGGTCCATACTTCGTCTCCAAAGTCGTCAGACCCGGCGTCTACGAACTCTTAACGATGGACGGCACCCCGATCCCTCGCTCTTGGAATTCCGCGAACCTCAAGCGCTACTACTACTAGCGCCTCCCTCGCGCCAAAAAAAAAAAAAAAAAAAAAAACAGCAAAAAAAAAAAAAAAAAAAAAAAAAAAAAAAAAAAACGAACTACGGTTGGCTTGATCCCTTCAAACGGGTACGTAGGCAGCCCCTCCTGGGCACAGCTATAACAAAAAAAAAAAAAAAAAAAAAAAAAATCACAAGTATACTTAACGCAAGCTTTTTCGAACGAGTCCGTTTCGACGATCAACCAGCTCCCACATCGTCAAATTACAACTATAAATCAACGACAACATACTTACCAAGAACGAGCTTTTTCGAACGAGTCCGCCTCGACGATTGACCAGCTCCCACATCGTCTCTCTGGCCAGGAGTTTGATTTAAACGCGTTCCACATGGATGCAGTGGCGAAATAATCCACATCCTTACTTCGGTAAGGACTAAAAGCCGAGCCAGTCTCGCATTAGCTAGCAGGCGGCCAAATCATAATAAGCCAAGCTCCGGCTTGCACGTTCTTGCCGACCTCATAGCACCCACAGGATAAGCCGGACACCAGAACCGCACCTATATGGTACGACTAGTCCGCCTAGTCTACTTTCTACTAAGCTCATCGTTCCAGCTCAAACGTATACAGGATAAGTCAAGAGACGTCTTGCCCCACAATACGTTTCGAAACTAAGCTTAAAACGCCAAGGATACCTCGCACAAAAATTAGCCGAGAATAACCTTGCATCAAAAATGACAAAGACACAAAAAGCTTCTCTCAGCACGTAAAAGTCAAGCGACTAGACGGGATAAGCCGAGCTGCAGATCGTACCTAGTCCACAATTACATTGAGTACAACATAAAGAATAAGCAAAACCAAGAATAAATTGAAAACG